AACAGTGACAGCTTGGTTTTGAGAAGGAAGACAGGATTTGATCCCACAATGCAAAGGCACACAGGAGTAATGCTTTTCAGACAGGATTTATCCAAATTTTCCCAACACACACCATCCTGAAAATTTTTGAAAATAATAAATCAGTATAGAAAAAATTAAATAAACCAAATCCCTGTCTTCTAACCATGAGTTTTATATCTTAGCTTCAGTGATTCAACAGGCCAAATTAATTCCCCATGGGTATTCAAAGGAATTGCATTCTTGTTCTGCAGGTTTGTCTTCTTGCTGTGGCTTGAACTGGATAAGGCCAATGCCACACTGCTACATTGACTCTTCTGTGTAACCTCTCTAGCAGTAGCAATCTGCCCCTCTCCCCTTGCAAAGTTATTACTGAAAGTGTTTCTATATTGCTTTTTGGTCAAATGACTCTCAAGGCAGCTAACATAATCCAACAAAACAATGTAAACATTAACATTTTTAATGTGATGATTTTAATACATCACGTGCAGCCAAAATCAAATGCAGATCATGCTAGTAAGTCAGAAATTCAGCTACTGTACTTCCCATGGCTGTTTTAATGACATAATGAGCATGGAAGCCTCCCCAAGAAAACTTCTGCAACTCACTTGCAGTCAAAAACAACACTTTGCTTTCCCAGCTTTCATGTGCCAGATGGTGTCAGGATGGACAACATAACATCAGACCAACTGACATTTAGGAGCTTTGAGCAGGCTACTAAACTGTAGCAATAGCCACCATTTTATCTGATTCTTGCATTAATGTTTAGATAAAAGATACCTCTAAAAGCTGAATGTACAGTCAAAATTGCAGTAATGCAGCATTCAACATATGTATATTCATAACCTATCCTGAAATGCAATATATTTCTTTTGAGGGTTCTTAGCCCTCTTTTTCAAACATCACTTCTAATTCTGTTTGAGGCTGATGTATGGGGTGCCATTGTCATGAATAGTAATTACTGAAAATTAGGTATCCTTGGATTTAGAGAAATAGGCATCTTGAAGTTGCCTGCATGAAAAGTCAATTTGCAAGACTGGCTGCAGTATTTTGGGGGATGATGTCTGATATTTTGACTCTGGTGTGCTTATCACAGGGCTTTGCTTCCCTAAAGGGAACATGTTCTCTGTGTGACTTTGCTAGCTTGGCAATGCACACTTTGGGAATAAAAACAATCGGGCATAAATGACATTTCAAATATAGAGTTATGGCTGCCTATGGAAACGCTGCTCCCCTCCTTAGGCTCTTTGCCAGATTCAAGGCTCCATTGTCAGTACAAGATAATTAACAATAAATGTATATACTGTGGGCTGTAAAGTGTCCCTTGTATCTTTCCATGTGGTGCAGGTAGTCTCTCTCTTGTTGCTTTGAATGGGACTGGGGAAGCAGAACTAGGTTGCAATAAATGTAACTTGCACCCCATTTTCCCTCTAGAAGGAAGCCCAAAATGGGTAGTGATACAATGCAAAACAAATACAAGACTATCAAAAGACAATATGAAAAATTATCTGAATGTGAATAAATGCACATAAAATGTATGGACCTTTAATAAAAATAACATGAATAAAATACCAGAATAACAATCTAATACAGTAAGAAAACACTAACTCTAAACACAAATACAAAATTCATTAACAGTATAGCATGGATTGGGAGGCTCTCCCTATTGGCCAAATGTATCCCACTAGATCTATGCTTCTGACCCATGGTCTCTCAATTAGACTTGAATGTGTTTGTCAGCCTAATTGCTGCAGGAGGGAGATGGGGTGGATGGAGGCACTTGTGAAGGGTTAACCTTCTCCTCCCACCTGTACTGCCACCTGTAACCCCCCCCCCCCACAAAAAGTCCCCTTTGTGTGAATCAGAGCCTTCTGTGAAGTGTAACTATAGCACAGGAGAAAGGAGGGAGACAGATGACAGAAAAGAGAATGGGAAGAGTGTAGATGGATGGAAGAGCATGAGTTGGAGGTGCATGTGTAGATAGAGCTGTGTGAATGAGGTGCATGTATTAATGGGGTGAATACAGCTTTTGTTTGCCCCACTTGACTTTGGTCTTATGTCTGGTGGCATGTGCCCTTCAGAAGGTCACTTGTAAAGGAACACAGCCTGCAGGTGGGAAAAGGTTCTCTGCCATTGTAAAGTATCAATGAACAACAAAACATAATAAAACACAACCTACATTTAGCAAAAATACACACATATAGTAAAATAATTTGCATAGGCTGTTAAAATAGACAAATCTGCTTTGGAGCAGCAGAATCCTGGAGAAGAAATAATCACAACTGATAAATATGGTAATGGTACAGGATACCACCAAAACTCTTACCCTAGACTAAAACAGACAGAAATGGTATGGCAGCCCACACTACTTCGCTGCCAACCAAACACTTCACAGGAGACAATTAATTGCCTTCAGTTGGTACTTGTAACTTCAGGAAAACACTCCCAAAATGGAGGTGACATAATTCCTCAAGTGGAAGAGCAGCACAACGTTTTGTGGGGGTTTGGACAAAATTATTGACTTGTATTTTGAACAGGATTTTGAAAAGTAACAGTAATAGCACCCCCCCCCCCTGTGTAAAACAAAGGATCTAGCTTTATTAAAATCTACAGTGAAGACATTCAGGAAGCTGGTGGGAAACTCAGCTGCACACAAACAATTCTTCAGGTGAGAAGGTACTTGGGCAAACAAACATACCAAAGAATTACAGGAGGTTGTTGGAAAAGTGCAGTGTATGTGCCTTGTTTAGCTAAGAAAGGCACTTCTACCTGACTAAGCCCAGAAACCATAAAAAGAAAAAATAATTGATACGAAAAGGAGATGATAGTCCTTGAAAAAAGGAAGTGTGGAGGCTACAAAATAGGTATAATGACTTCACAAGTCATGTCATTTAGAGCCAATCAAAAGCATTCTGGTTCCATTTCAAATTAGAACTCAATGTGTAGATTGGATTATATCTGGCAGTTAGTGAAGAGGAAAGTGGCCAGACAAATACATTTCCTGAAAGTGTCTTTTCTGCAAGGAAAAAAACCCTCTGAAATTGAACAGTACCACAGTCAAAGGAATCATTCCGATTCTTCTCTACTCATATGTAGTCAGAGCAATGAATGCTTGGCTTAGAGTTATGTATGAATCAAGCCACTGGTCCTATAGTTAACTATTCTACTGCTGTATTATGATATTCCTTGACCCCTGCTATAATAGAACAATCATCTTCTGATGTTAACTTATCTGGAATGGACTTGGGTATTGTTCACCCTGCTAAGTAGCTGTTTTTGTCTGGATGAATATTTTAAGTTCCAAAACACAATTCTAAAGTTCCTAGAAGCCAACAAAAAGGTTGTAGGTTTCAATCCAGAATATGACTGAGGCAGTATTTCAAATTCCTGAGCAATTAGACACCTGTGATTTTTTTTCCAGACTTGCCTGATAAGCTAGTGTCAGAATCCCGGAATCTCAATTTGAGAAGAGGGAATAAAACTCGGGTTCGTGGGAAAGACCAAGCGTCCAGACCATCTGAGGCTTTATTGTTTTACGCCCAAGGTTCCCGCAGTACACTCACGATAATGCAGGCTGCACTACCGGGCAGGCAGAGGTGAACTCTGCTGCAAAGCTTCAATACCATTACAGGGCATTTATAGGTACACAGGGACAGGGCAATTGATGCCAGAATGCAGAGATTACAGTAAGATTCTGAGGTCATCACATGCAGAACAGGTAAAGAAATGTCAGTCAATCACACTGTAACAATGAGATTAAAATATTTCTGGTATTGACACTTTAGTTGAGTAACTTGAACCCATCTCCAGGTCTGCTCAGACATGCAAATTCAAGCTACTAGAAACTATTCATGATAAGCTCAGACCCCTATCTCGACTCTAAACATTCTGCATGATCAGGGCACATGAAGCCCTCTGGGCTATCAAAATTACTTCCTTGTAAAACTGAATTCCAACAATGATTATTTAATCATTGTGAAGGTATACAATGTAAATTTGGACTAAATGGCTTGTCTACTGTAGCCCACAGCTAAAGGTGAGAGAAAGGAGTGGGGGAATGCCATTTTAAACAGTGACAGTTTGGTTTTGAGAAGGAACACAGGATTTGATCCCACAATGCAAAGGCACACACAAAAGTAATGCTTTTCAGACAGGATTTACCCAAATTTTCCCAACACTAGTCAATGTTTTGGCTGTATTTAATAGATAGTACAATTCCACTAGATTGGTTCTCCCTCAAGCCCAGCTTTTCTTGCTGCAACATATGGAACAATGTTAAGGTCCTTGTGGGTTTGGTTTTTTTCACAAAATTCTTTTCATATCTCTTGGTCATAGTTAAAAATAACCCTGCCCCCAGCAAATTATATAAAAGCAAGCACAACTTTTCCCCCTCTCCTGCCAACTCCCTTTCTAACTAGAAGGAGAGAATGGAGACTAAAAGAGCAATGTTGAAGGTTAATGTACTGAACTATGGGATACCATGGTGATAAAAGCAAAGAGAATTAAAAATGCAAAGCAAACAAGACCCTCCTGCCTTTTAATAAACACCCCTCACCCTGCAATTGCTTTTTTCGTAAATTATGCAGATTGCAGGATTGTGCTGTTCACATCCTCCCTGTCCTTTAACATTGCTGCAGTACAGGGATTTTTCTATTGTATATCACTGAGCAGTCTGAAAAGAGTTCTGATTTATGTGCTGTCTTGCATTTCCATTTCATTAGTGATAATAATAGGCAGACATATTTTTCTGCGAGGGAGTGCTGCTGATAAACTGACCTTTCAAAATTACAAAGCCCAGTAAAGTGTAGCCCAGATTAGAGGGCTTGGTGCTGTTTTCAACTGTGAGGCCTCTAAACATAAAATTAGGTTGAATTGTAGTTGTAAGGCAGGCAACGTGTTTGTTGCAGCATGCCCCAGATATATGGCATTTGAAAAAGGGAAAAATCATACTTTTCAGATCCTTCAGAGATGGACAGCAAGCATCTTAATCTTCTACCTCAAATGTAGTTGCACACTGGGGAGTAAAAAACTCAGAAGATGGAGATTTTGAGGACAGCTTTATGTAAAATAGGTTTACAAGGTAGATCTGGAGTGAGGTATCATGGGAGTGGATCCTAGAAAGTGAAAATGGCAAAGCCAGTAGAAGTAAGGTTAAGTTAAATCCTAAAGTTTCACATTTTGAAAACCTCCAGTAGTGAGACATTAGATCTACCAGGTAGATGGGACAAGGTTATAAGGACAAGAATTTTGATTCGGATGTGGAAGGTAAGCCAGCAGACGGAACAGATTTGGAACAGTGTGGGAGGCATGTACATGCGGATAATGGGAGAATTAAGAATAGTGATCATGTTGGTCAGAGCTGGCAACAAATTCGCTAGGCATATGTCCCATCTACAGCTTGAAGAAATGAGTAAAGAAATACCATAAAGAATCATGACGGTTATGACCTTAAGTAAATAATATATGTTGCATGAGTAACTGAAATACACCAGCAAGAATAAAAGGGGTACTTGAGCACAGCTGGAGTTCAGATAAAATGACTGATCGATCTTGGGGTTTTGCCTAAAATCAAATACTTCCTAAAAGTAGCAGTTTAAAAATGCAGATCAAGGTACAAGGCAAAGCTAATCTTTTCCACTTCCACATACTAGCCTGGTGCAGATGGTATGGCTAGTGTTTCAGCTCTGTCTTTGCTGCCCCACAGAAAGTGACAGAAGTCCTGCTCTGGCTTTACATGGTTGATGCATTTATGCCAAGAGGGCCAATAAATGAGTCTTTGTGTTGTTTAGTGTGCATGGAATTTGCATAGGCTGTGCTGGAGCAGGCAGATCTGTTTCTGAAAACAAGGAACAAGTTCTTCTTGCTGTGTCTCTGCTTCCCAATGCCTCACGAGAAGCTTTCGGCACTTGTGTAAGAGATCTGACTTTCTGTTTATTTCAGCAGTAGGTGCTCTCAGGTTTCCTGCAAGTTAGGAACTCAAATGCCTTAGATGGGCAGGTATCCTGTTGCCTTTTGACTTTGGCTTGAAAGGTGCTCAACCTTTAGTTCAGTGAGTTTTGCTTAAAGTCTGGATAATGGCTGAGGCAGTGATGGGGGGAGCTGCAAATTGCCGGCATAGCTGTCTCATGCAGTGAGCAATGTTATTGTGCCAAGGCTCTTACTGCTGTACTAGCGCCTTAGATAGAAATGTTGAATGCAGTTAAGATTTTGGACAATGCAGGCTTAGAGGCAGAACTGGATCGCATAATGCACTGCAAATGTGAGGTCAATCAGCAGTCATCTCCAGCTGCTTGTGTTGAACGGCTCCATCTTGTTCTCAGCTTGTTAAACTGTAGGAAAGCCTACAAATTGAACTGCACTTGGCAGCTCACTAGCTAAGTGGCTGGAGAAGGCTGTACTTCTCTGCAGCCTGCTGCTTTTGAAGCGGGTTTTGCCAAGCCTATTACTCTGCTTATTCAGATCCCACTGTCCAACTCATTCCCAGCTGGTATTCCAACAGGGTGTAGGTTGCACTGCCAACAATTGGCAGGTATTGGTTTTCAGTTCTCTTGATGTATGTATTATGTATGCATGCATGTATGCATCTGTGTCATGGCACCAGAGCTCACAAGAAAGAATTTGGATACATTCTCATGACAGTCTTTTAATTCCATATGTAAGTTTGTTCTGGCAGACTTCTTTGAAGTGTTTGGCTAGCAATGAGTTGTACATAATACACCTTTAAGAAAAGAGTTTTCAATTATATTTGTACTGCAAGACTGCACCTCCAAGAAAAATAGAGAAATAAAGAAATGTATTATCTTTGCATAGGGGAAATATGCTACAGAATGTGTTATCTTTCCATTGATGTATCTTCTGCCTCGGCTCTCTTGTGGATGATTTTTGCATGCTCTCACAGTTTTATAACATAATTCCTGTAAGAGTAATGAATCAATTAATTGTTTTTTGCATTATAAAACACAGAAAAGCTTAGTAAATAAACAGTTTTGTCTTAGGAAACTTAGTTTCCCTTATGTTGATTCCTTTGTATAGGCTATAAATAAAAATATGTATGAGTTATTGGGCCTGGAAGGAAACTGTATATAGTATCAAAATAACAAAAATTGTAAGCAACTACTGCTTCCTTTTTGATAAGTGTGGCCAGCATAGTAGCCAGTATTCTGTAATGTTTGTATATGTCATGGGTGTGTAGTACTTACATTCCTATAACAGTTACAGGATATTCCAAATCACTATGCCTGCCGGTTAAAGCCCAGGCCTTTCTATGCTATGAAAGTGTGCGTGGCTGATCCATGTTGATGTATTATCTGCATGTATATCCATCTAAGTAATGCTTTGTTCTTGGTCTTCCCCAGTGATGCCATTTGCAGTTTTGTCATCTGCAATGACCCCTCTCTTCAGCGACATCAGATCATCTTCAATCCGGACTTCTTTGTGGAGAAGCTGCGACATGAGAAGCCTGAGGCTTTCACAGAGCTTGTGGTCAGCAACATTACACGACTGATAGACCTGCCTGGAGCAGAGCTAGCCCAGCTGATGGGAGAGGAGGACCCACAATTGCCTGGTGGGGCCGGCACATCCTCAGGGTTTTTCCGTTCCTTGATGTCTCTGAAACGCAAACGTGAGCATAATGTGTTGGCTAACTTTTTTCCCTTGGCTTTTTAATGCTAAAGGTTTTGCCCATCCTTCCTTATAAAAGTAAACTTTTGCAGAAACTTTGCAGCCACTCAAAGCAGGTTGGAGGATGAAGGTGGGATGCAATCCTTTATGTAGCGAATATCTTATTGTTGAGTAACCTAGAGTATCATTTCTAATGTCCTTGGCAGAGGACCGGGACTCAGCAGTTGGCCTGAAGCATGCAGGTGGCACTTATTCAAATGTGGTAGACTCTTAGCCAAAAATAGGAAACATGGCTCAGAACTGAACAACAGAAACAGTTAAATGTAAAAACTTCTCCCTGGAGCTTTATTATATTGAGGCAGCTCACCTATGAATCCCAGATGCTGGGGACAGATGGGGAAGGTCATCATTGTTATGTCCTTTGAGAACCTCAAAACATTAGATTAAGCACTGTAGGAAACAGAATGCTGGATTTTGTGGATTTTGGTCTGTTCCAGTAAGGCAATTCTATCTTGCTTATTCTTCGGTGGGGTCTGTTCTCTGGAGGCAGTTTGAAACATATCCAAATTTATCTGTTTCACAGCATAGCTTCCTATACAGAGCACTCTTTGAAAAACTGGATGCCTGATAAGCTGCTAATGGGAGGGGAATTTTGAAGGTAGTGGGCAGTGAACATGCACTCTGGGCGGGGACTTTAAATTCTGTCTTTTTCAGAACAGTAGGAAAAAAATCTGTGTAGTTTTATATCTTGCCACAGGGACAACAGCTGATGAACTTGGTTGCTCATACCTTCCTTTTTTAAATCTCCAGAAAAAGGGCTAGTGTTTGGTGCTCCACTGACTGAAGAGGGCATTGCTCAAATATCTCAACTGATTGAGTATTTGCATAAGAGTAAGTGGTGTGTCTGTCTTTGTTAAATCAAGGTTGTGGGCTGGTCTGGAACACAGTTTTGGCATTAAAAATATCCTTAGCTTCTCATCTGAGGAAGCCTAGAAGCCATTTAGTGTTTCTTTACATGAACATTCTCTTGCCACCCCCAACTCCAGATGTTTCAGTGATTCTCTCGTGCCAGGGCTCTTTAGGGGATTCAATGATACTGCAGAAAAGAGAGGGATAATGATTAAGAAGCTTTGATAAAACATTGGGAAGTGATAATATTTATCTAGCTCTAGCTTGGTGCTCCTCCATTTTATTTTTCCTATAATGGTGCAGATCTTCGAGTAGAAGGCTTGTTCCGAGTGCCAGGAAACAGCACCAGGCAACAGAACCTGAAAGAAGCCTTGAACAGTGGGACAGAGATTGACTTGGATTCAGGAGAGTTTCACTCCAATGATGTGGCTACTCTGCTGAAAATGTTTCTGGGTGAATTACCAGAGCCTCTGTTGACCCATAAACATTTCCATGCACACCTCAAAATTTCAGGTGAGTTGAAGGAGAAACAGGTGCGTTGTGACAATAACCTGGGTTTATCTGTTCAATAGAAAGTTTATTGGATTACGCAGGGAGAAAGACATTCCCAGGGCTTCTTCAGTATGCTTGTCCTGCCCTGCTCAGCTCTGAGGCTCTGCTGTGCTTTTCCCTTCTTTTTTCCCAGGGTTTTTTCCCCTTCAGGACAGCTGGGCACTCTGCCGAGTGTTGTGTCTGCTGAAACTCCAAGCCATTTGCCATTTTCATTAGCCCAGAAAACCTCTGAGCCCATGTGTGTTTGGGCAATGATCAAAGGAGAGGAAAGATGTGCATATGTGTTTATCTGAGTGGTGGTCAAGGGAGAATGATCCCCAGTGAATGGCAAAGGGTCAGTGAATGGAGTGACAGTGAATTGAACAGAAATTGGTTTGGGAAATACATCTGGGGGAAATCAAGCAGGCAATTTTCTAATTCATTGAAATAAATCAATTTCAAATACATAAATAAAGAAATAAAATGGCTTGTCATCTTAGAAATAAGAGTTCTGTTAAAACAAATCTAGGGATACTAGATTTTGTGTTTTGAGGCTTAGGCTTCACCTCTGCCTTGCATGCAGGTTCTTGTCTTTCAGCCACATCGCTTTGACTTCTGTGAAATGGCTTTTTTGTGACTGGCTACTCCGGTAGACATTTTTGTGCTGGAGTTCATAATACTATCTCTAAATATAAAATGTGTCCATTAGCTCAAAGAGGGGATGCCATGTTAGGAGTATCCAAGCATGAAGGTTTGGTGGGGGGGAGAAGGCTTTAGGGAGTGCAAAGGAGGGTGATTGGAATTTGTAAGGAGTAGTTCATTGAACTTGATGTAGTTTCTGAAGTCTGTAGGGAAGAGGTTTCTTGTAGCATGCTGTAAATTACAGATGTTCTCCTAACTCTTGGGTTATAGAGCTGATGCTGTTTGATGGCAAGGGTAACAAGACCAACATTCCAGATAAAGAACGTCAGATTGAAGCACTGCAGCTTCTCTTCCTGATCCTGCCAGCCCCCAACCGCAATCTGCTCAAGTTGCTCTTGGATCTCCTTTATCAGACAGCCAAGAAACAGGACAAGAACAAGATGTCAGCCCATAATCTTTCTCTTATGTTCGCACCTCATATTTTGTGGCCTCGAAATGTAAGTGTGCTGTTTTGTACAGCAGTGCGTAAGTACTCAAAAAGAATCAAGCTAGACCCGAACAAGGGTCCCTCCAGCTGCTGTGGGAAACCCATAGGTAACATGTGAGTTGGATAACATGGCCTCCTGCCCTGTTATCCAACAGTGTTCCCTTCTGCCTTTGGTGTTGGAGGTCGCATATAGCCATCAGGACTAGTCACTATTTGATAGCCGAGTCTCCATGAATTTGTCTAGTCCTGCTTGAAAGCCAGCCAAATTGGTGTCCATCAGTGCATCTTATGGAAATGAATCTCATACCTTGACTGCGCAGTGTGTGAAGAAGGGCTTTTTACCTGTCCTGAATTTCTCACAGGCCAGCTCCATGTGATGATATTTGATTCTGGTATTATAGAAGAGGGAGAAAAATACCTCCTTCTCCACTCCCCACATATGCATAATTTTGTACACATCTCTCCTGTCTCCCCTTGCTCATCCTTTTTCTGAGCTAAACAGTCTCAGAGGTTATGATTTTTCCTCATAGGGAAGTTTCCCCAGACCCCTGATATTTTTAGGTATCTCTTTTTTGCACTTCCTGCAACTCTAAAGTACCCCTTTTAGCTGCAGGACCCGAACTGCACACTATACTCTACATGGGCTCCACCATAGATTTGTATAAGGGGAGTATAATTTGGGCAGTTTTATTTTGACAGTACTAAAGGTCAGGCTGAAGACTAATCCCAGTGTGTTCTCCACACTTGGCTGTTGTGTTCTGCCCCCTCTACTAGTGGACTTCCAAATCACCTACTAATTCCCATGCCTTGGTGCTTCTCACTATTGCTAGGTGACTGCTAGCGACCTGCAGGAGAACATTTCTAAACTGAATAATGGGATGGCTTTCATGATCAAGCACTCACAAAAGCTCTTCAAGGTAGGTGGTTATAAGATGGGAGAGACTGCCTCCAACTGTCAGCATCTGTTCCCTGGAGGTCCCATGAAGTTGATTGCAGGGGAGGTTTGTTCTCTGTTGTACAGTCTTGAAATGCTCCACCTAGCTTCTTGATCTGTTACTTCCTTGGAGGTGCTAAGTAATGTTCCTGCTCCATCTGCAGAGCAGGCATGGCACCAATATATTAAAAGAAAAGTCCTTTTAGAAAGCAAGATGCTCACACAAGAGCATTGGATGGTGCTGTAGCCATCATTATAGTTGACGCTTCCAAACTCTGCTTCTACAGAGCATTTAGGGAGTCCCTTTCTTGATGTTCTGAGTCTTTACCAGTCTTCCTTTGCCATTTAGTCTGCCATATATCCCTATAGGTAGGATGCCATAGAGTTAGGGTAAATCTCTGAGAAAATTGGGCAAGAGCTTGTTTAACTGGGAGCACACAGCATATGTGAGAGGCAGACAAAGGATTGGCTCTTCCTTGTGGATGACCCTATTGCTAGTAAAGCAGGGATGAGTAGCTTTATTCAGCTTTGTACATTTTCTCACAAATAACCTGCTGGAGGATGAATGACAATAGTGTATAGAGCCAGCCACTTAAAACTCCATTCCCCTTTTCCCTCTGTTCTGCCCCACCCTAGTAGGGTAGCAAATAGGCTTAAGAAAAAGGGTGGGCCCCTACATGGTGATGGCATCTTGCAGGAAGGATTGATGCTTTCCCAGCTGTCCTCCTCTTCCCAAAAAGTCAATCCCTTCTTGTGACAATTAGGCTTAGAAACGAGGGTCCTATTTGTGTGAGCTGATTTTTTCCCCTTTAAGCTTAACTGCTGTGAGGATGCCAAAAACCACATCCTAAGGCTCCATGGGACATTCAGGCTAGACATTATCCACACCTCCTATCGAGGAAGCATATTGGACCCTTCAGAAGTGTTCACTAGGGTAACCTTCCTCATGCTCTTTCAAAAAGGAAGCTGTCATTCCTTTGGTCGTTGGCTAAAGCATCTCTGAAAGTGCTTTACTCAGTGGTCTCAGCCAACTACTGTGGAACCATGTGTCTGTCTCAGACAGGGACAATAGTTTATACTTGTCTGTCTCCTGTTTTGCTTGTCTTGCAAGGCTCCGGCATACATCCGGGAATATGCCAGACTGCATTACCTGGACTCCAGAGTACATGCCTCAAAGGTAAGAACATAGAAGATACACATCATTGAGTCAATGCACTGAAAAATGAATCCTGATTGAGAACAGGAATTACTCAGGAGGGATTTTCTTGAAGAAACCCGTCCTTTGGGGATGGATTGGACAGAAGTAGACTCTGGACTTCCCATATAGCCTAATGTATAACCTTACTAATAATCTGCCCTCTATTTGGGATAACAGTTCTGAACAAGGTCTCATTTCACCATGAAAAAATAAAACTTCCTTAAAGCATTTGGATGCAATACGCAGGGTATTTTAGGGGAGCAAAAAGGATTTGGACACAGGCAGGTTCTTCCTGCTCCTTCCAGCCTATCCACTGCATATACATGTGTGCACACATGCAGAGTAAGAGAGAGAGATTTAATTACAGTTAATAACAAAATAATGTCAAGCTTTATAAAATATTACAGAGAATACAAAGAAAATGCTTCATCTTCCAATAATTCTCAAATTTCCATACAGGAGTGGTCTGTAATGGAATATGTGGAATAAAGTTTATAAAATATATATCGTATTGTTAACATAATCCTTTCAATGGGAATGTAAATGAAAAATTAGTTCACATTAGAATATATTACATTCTTGCTACAATAATCAATAGAATTTTACACTTTTCTTTGCTGTCCCATCTCTGCTTGTCCTCTTTTGTTCTACAGACTTCTGCTAGATTCATTAGTGTCATGAAAGACACAGCAGTTTCACTGGTGTGGGATGTTAACAGTCTTCTGGGATAAGGCTATCCCAGAAGGATAGGAAGGAAATAGGTTAATGAACTAAGTGTCCATCTTAATTTCCCTAGGATGACCTGGATTTGCCAGTGCCAAGAGATTTCAAAGATATTCAGCTTCTAAAATTTAAGAAGCGAGGATTGTTGGACCCCTCTGCCCACCAGGAAGACGCACAACAGCATACGGAGAAAGCATTGAAAGAACTTTTCCAGCATGTTCATAACATGCCAGACTCTGCCAAGAAAAAGAAATTCATTCAACAGGTATGATTATGATTATTTTCTTTAGAGAATGTGTAAAGGTTGCCCAAAAACAGTTATCTGAGCAATCTAAAACAACAAAATACAATACTGAAATATTGTAAAAGGGCAAACAGCAGCACAAAAATTTGCAGCAGAGAGAGCAAAAAAAACCATTTTTACAGCATGGCTAAATATGATCTGTAGCCAGCTGTGGATCCACCTAATAGTTGTTCTATCTAGTCCACTTTTAGCTAGTTTATTAATCAGGATATCATGGCATTTTGTTAAGAATTTTGCTGAAGTCAAGATATATCATGTCCACAGCATTCCCATGGTCTACCAGGGAAGTTACAAAATCAAACAATGAAATCAGTTTGGCAGGATTTGTTCTTGGAAATCTATGCTGGCTTCTAGCAATCACTGCATTGTTTTCATAGTGTTTCCAAACTGACTGCTTAATGATCTGCTCCAGAGTTTCCCCAGGGATTAAAGTCAGACTGGCTGGTCTGTAGTTCCCAGCTTATAGAGAGCAGTACAACAATGAAACCAATTACCTTGGGAGGTGGTGGGCTCCCCCACACTAGAAGTATTCAAGATGCAACTGGACAGCCATCTGAGAGAGATGGAGTCTTTCACTGAGCAGGGGTTGGACCCACTGGCCCTCTTGGACCCTTCCAATTCTACTATTCTATATGTATAACGTATAAACTGCAGTTCAAAGAACACACATTTTTAAATAATTAAGCCAGGTCATTTGGCACCAAAATGACCATAAAGAAGAACCCAAGCAAGCCTCCCTGAGGAGGGCATTCCACATCTAGCACTCGCGGTAAGCACCTGCCTCATACCACTTGGCAGAAGCACCCAGAACAATGTGCCTGAAGAGGTTCTCAAGCTTTTGGTAGGTATATGTGAGAGAAGGTATTCTGATCCCAGAACACTGAGGGCATGAAAGATCAAAAGCAAGTCTTTGAAACAGGGCTGGAAATGGACTGGAAGCCTGTGTAGAAGACCATGGACCATTTAACTGGAACAGAATGGCAAAAATAGGAATCAGGATTGGGCTTTGGCTTGAGTGACTGGACTAACAGTGCAGAATAAGCAAGACTAGATGTGTGTGTTCCTAGTTTCAGAAACACCCTGCAGCTTTCACTCCTCAGAGAGGTACACCCACGCCTCAGACTCAGAAGCGCACCCGCACTCATTCTTTCAGTGGCCTAATCAAGGTAAGAAACATTCTGCTGTAAAGGAGCTACTTGCTTCTCACTGATAATGTAAAACAAGATATGAAAAACGAAACACATTCCATTGTATAACTGAAGATTCAACATACTTGATAAGAGCAATATGAGGGGAAATGAGACATGTCAAACCTAACTCCTCGCCATACAATAATTTTCTGCATGTTTCCAATACATAGGGAAGCCATCGGTGTGTAAGATAGAACGCCTCAACATGTTTCCAACATGTTGCAAACAGTTACTGACACAAACATGATTACAGAGCCATTGCTAGCTTTGAGGGATAATGGAATGAAATGGGGATGCCAGATTGCTCATCTTCCTTTGTCAGGAAAGGTATTGGCCCAGTCAGAAATGAGATGCAAAGTTATACTGTTTTGATGCCTTTGACTTCTGCACCTGCTTAGGATCACAGTCCTAAACCAGCATTTTCCTTCATTAATACAGCGTAAAGTACTGGGAAGTCAAGTGTCTTTGGACAAAAAAGAGAAGGATGTTTTGGAGTCTGCAGGCAATAAAGATTCAAAGCAGGGTAGCAAGGAAAATGTCAGCATGGTAAGAGCTACTGGAAGAAGGATGTCCTGGCATTATACTAATGGGGTTTCCTTGGTAAAGTGAATTGCTGGTAAATCTTGCTTGCCTTTAGTTATTTTATTTATTTATTTGTGATATTTATATGCCGTCCTATTGCAAAAGCCTCAGGACGGCTTACATAAATAAAATACAAATATCAATATACATAAATTATAACAAAATATCAACATAAAAATCAACATAAACAAATTGACCCACTCTGGCTGCAGTTAAAAATATAATATTAAAAATACAATATTAAAAAATACAATATTAAAGCTTATTAAAATATTGATGAAATAAAAAGGTCTTAACCTGGCGCCAAAAAACATTTAATGACAGCACCAGGCGGGCCTTTCATATATACCTTCATTTTTCTGCTCCTTAATTTATCCAGAGAACAAGAGGTCCAGGTACAATCTCAAGCTGTAGCTGACTCATTAGCAGGACTAACTGAACATTCCTATACTGCATTAATCTTGGGGCCAGAGATATGCCAGTGGAACAGTTGCAATAGCCAATCCATGCTCATGGCAGGAGGGGGAAACATGGAAAAGATGTGGGGAGCTGGGAAAACACCACACACATCCATAGCATCCTTGGTAGCACCAACTTCTCAATCCCAGGACATACGGTAGAGATGGTGCTTCTATACTGGCCAGAAACAGGGAGCTCGTCCATACTAGTTGACCTGGGGATGTGGTTGCATTATGCACATTGCGGTACTACATTGTCTCAATGTGCAAAATGATGTTGCTGCACTCAGACATGTGAGTCTCCTTAGTGTAGGCAGCCTTTACACAGCTTCAAGAGATCCCAGGCACTTCTGCAGAAAAGGATCTGAGACCCTCAGTACAACACTCTATGCATATATCCCATCATCCAGCATCTGTTGCTGTTATGGACACTGAGACACTCACCCCTGCAGAGCCAGAGAGCATGGAGAATGGAGGCACCCATGGTAACAAGTTCTTTTTCTTCCCCACAAAAGTTCCATGTTGTGGCCAGCTAAAGCCAGTTTGCACTAGAGGAAAGAAAGCCCTGTTTACTAATCAGTATTTCATTCTGTGGCAATTTGGTTTTTCGGCCATTTGTCAAACTAAGATGTAACACTGTAGACTACCCTACATCTGTGTGGCATGGGTAAATTCATGGCAGAAATTAATTTGAATTGATTCAAGGTAGTTGCTAGTAGCTGGTACCTCCTAGCTTGATTTAGAGGGGATGGGGATGGGCAGACAGGCAGTATAATGTGATTTAGAGGCTAGGGTTTCAGTCCACATCTTGTCTAGTTACAGAATCCTGCTTCCTCTCCAGCAATCAATGTGATTCGAGCAAAGCTGAAGTCCCTTGAGTACAGGAAAGAGGTAAGTTATGTATATTTAGATATAAGCAGCATGTTCTTCTCATGAGTAGCCTCCAGACTGCCAACACACACCTGAAAGCCACATTTGTGTGATTGTAACTAGGGCTCCAAGCCCATTTTTAGTTGAAAGGTAAGATGTGCAGAGAAAAAGTGAAGCTAGAAATGTGAAATTTAAATGGCCCTTAAGCAAAAATCTGGGCTTTCCATGCTTTCACTATAGGAAATAAAGACAACCTCAGGAGGACAGTTGGTGATGTATCCATGACTTCTTGTTATCACATGACTGCAGCACAGTACACAACTGCGAATTTCTCTCTTTCTGGCACAGGGCTATTGTAAACATACTCAGTTTCGTGGGACCCCAACAGAAGAATCTTCCATTTGAACACCCATGAGATGATGTATAAGAGCTGCAAAGACTTGGAAACCTGTGGATAATGCCTGCTTTCCCCACATCAAGCTGTGAGCAGTGCCAGGACTCCTTGACCCCTCTAACTTCACTTACTGGAGCCTGGCTTACAATAGTGTGTCTGCCCAAATAACACATGCTTTCTTTCATGTGAACATAGGAAACCATGATTGGCCACCTCTCTATGCACTGGACTGTACCTGTGGTGTAGCTTCTCTTTGGAGAAGCCATTGTTTTGAATTGCTTGTCTTTCCAGATGGCCATCTTTCTATCCTGGCTTGTATCTTTCTGCTGGTGCTTTGCTTTCATCCAGGCTTTGTATATGTGCTTCTTCCTTAACCTGCAGTTCCCATTAGCATCCACAGTAGAGTCAGGCTTTCAGACCCTCTTGGCAGCTAGGCTTATCTCAATTTGAATGAAAGTCGCTCTGTTGTGGTTATTGATGGGTTTGGAGGACCAGCTATATGCATCTTTCTCATGTCAACAGACAGGTGATTCCTTCAGTACTGATTGCCAAGGGAATATTTTGGCAGAAGTTTTGTCCAGTGGTGCCTGACTTGAATTGCTGGCACGTTCCCAATATTTAGGGCCCAGACTCTGATGCACATTTCACAGGTAGGACCAAGGAGCTGGCAGATTAATGACTGTGCACTGAAGTCTGTTAGAAGTGCACTGAAGAACAAAGTTGCTTGTCAGTCTGAAAAAGTGGCTGACTTGCTCACAGAGGAGGAGGAGAGAGACTTTCAAATTGTTACTGAAAAGTTTCCTTTTCTTTCTTTTAGCAAGAGAAGAGAGCAAGTGGGAGGACAGTGCAGTGTAATAATACTGTTGTTGTTTGGATGGAAGGAGGCCCACAACAGAACTGTAATAATAATCAGATATTGCTAAGTTCCCTCTACTTCTGAGGAAAAAGTTTATTTAGGTACAGCCGTTGCAACCTTAGATGGCAGCACATGGCCATGTAGAACTTTCAGTAAGGTAAACCTCACTGCAGTAGAATGGCTTGGTGCAATCCTTTGGTTTAATACCATATTCTCTGCCTGCAACAGACTGCTTTTGCCTACATTGTGGAGACAATTTCATAGAGTTAGTTTTCATGGAGACAGCAAATATTTAAATTCTCTAAATCCCTGAATATCGAGGTGCTGCTTTTGTTTTTAAAGGCACTCTTCTAAACTTCTGTCAGGACCATGTAACATCAAGTGAGTGTCTTTCAGATATACATATTCTGCAACGGGTTGGATTCCTGATATCTGCCACACCCATGTTTATACACATCTTGAACCAAAGAAGTAGAAAGTTGCTAACATTGTAAGGTTATGGCAGGGCTGAGAAGACAGTGTCAGTAACTGTGAAAGCAGGGGAAGCAAGCAGTTGCTGTGAGTGAAAGCAAATTAAGCCAAATTTCTTGATGTTGGCCCAATTTAGTCATACTGTATTACAGGGAATAGGAGATGTATTGTCAGCAAGAGTCTATCAGGAAATTGCCAAAATGTCATCTGCAGGTCCCTCAGATCTTTTCTGGGATGCTAGTCCTTCCTATGCCCCATAGAAAATATATACTCATTGGATTCGTTCACATGTAGCACTAAACAATGATTTGAACAAGTGTTTAAGTATGATCCCTTCACTCGTCACACATTCTGCTTAAATATTGCTCTCCTGGCTTGTGTGGCAAACCTTAGTTTGCTCTTGTATCTGATGTGCTCAGGTATGGTTTGTGATTTCCTCTCCAAATGAAGGAAAGCAAGCTATAGTTTGAAGCTGGTTTGCGATCCAGTTTGGAGCAAAAAGCACAAATCATACTTTGCTAGTTCTGATTTAACTGTGAATTGTATTAAGTGGGATGTGCAAGGGAAACAAGGAGAGGGCAGAGTTGGGGAGCACACAGGATTAAATCTTTGTCCTATGATACCAAGGTGTACTTTGGCAGTACCTGTGAACTGAAGCTTTGTGATGGGACAGATGTGCTTGACAAGAAGAGCCCTTTGATGCATCAAGTGCTCTTCCACCAGAAAGGCTGATGCAGGGGCTAAAGGGTTTGTATTTTAACAGAAAGATTAGAAGGGATGAGGCTGCAGGAATCCCCTAGAAGAAATTAAGCATCACTTTCTTCCACTTTTATGGTCACCAAGTTAGTGTCTGGATTTTGAAGTAACACTCTGTTTGTTCTCAAAAACCCAGGCTGTTGATTCAGAATAGTAGGCTCTTTAAAGTTTTCATGGCCTATATGTACATTTTCTTTTCTTGAAATAAGTTGTCCTTTCATTTGTGCAAAACATAAGGGAAATTCATGTTTCCCAGTTCTGGCTATCACTAAACTTGTCAAGGGCTTCTATGTCCTTAATTCATAGTTTATTCAAATATTAGCAGCATTGGGAGTGAAAGCAACTCCAGCACCATGACTAATCCTGGCAAGGAAGTGCCTCCAAGAATTTTTTACCTTCTGTTCTTTTAATTTCATCTACAGTCTGGACAAGCTTTATTTGTGCAATGTAATAATGTAAAGGATGTTTTTGTTCGCTTGTGGTATTGTCTTATTTTGTCGGTTAATGTGAAATTCCTATATTAAATACTTGTTGGTATTAGTACTTTGATAGGCTCTAGAGTTAAATTGTTGTTAACATGGGGTCAGATCTGGGAGGGTATGAATCTTAATATGCTTATTAACTTAAACATTTCCATACATCACAGACCTAGGCTCCTTCAGCTAAGTTCTTGCCCCTCCTCTGACCTGGTATTGATAATTGGTCAAAAATGTAAATGATCAAGGGGCTGGACAGCTCCGACTGCTTAGCTTAGAGAGAATGGTGAAGGGAGACATGATAGAAGCATACAAATTTATGCATAGTGTGGAGAAGGTGGATGGGGAAGCATAGTTCTCCCTCTCATAATAACAGATATTGACACACTTCATGAAGCTGATTGACACAGACTCAAAATGGATCGAAGAAATTCTTTAACATATGGAATTCAACTTCCACAAGATAAAGTGATGGCCACCAATTTGGCTGGCTTAAAAATGCGGTTAGACAAAGTCATGGAAGGCTGTGAGTAGCTGGTAGTCCTGATGGTTATGTCCCGAGGCAGTGTGTCTGTACTGTTGTCCTTGTGCTATACTTGTGGTTTTCCCACAGGCAGCTGGGTCGTCAGCTATTGAACAGAATTCTGGACTTAAAAACTTTTGCTCGGATCCAGCGTGGCCATTATATCAACTAGGGTCAAATGGAAAACACTTCAATTATTGCTCAGGAATTCTAGCCCTTGCTACAACCATGGTAATTACTCTGATTCTGGTAGTAGAGGCTAAAGATTAAAGTAATGTAGGCTGACTGGTTAGCAATTGCAGAGAAACCGTCCTCAGAATATCACTTTCTTTAAAAGGGGGATCGCTTAGTGGCAGCATAGCACAATTGCTTAGGGCAGAAGAAAGTTAAAAATGCATCTCTAGTTAACCCACTTTATTTCTTGTCCCTGGTTTTACTTAGGGCAGCCTTGTTCTCTCCTGGTTGGTTATATTATCAGATCATGGATCCTGTGAGGAAACTGTTTTGGGTATAATACAAAGTAATGACAAGAGAAGTTACCACCTCATTTTAATGAATTATTGGATCCTTTGAATACAGAAAAATGACTACAAATGTATATCAGCAAATGCCCCTTTTAGGTAAAACAAAGCTTTTAGTGTGTGTATTACTTGTGTAATCATCCTGTGAAACCAAATGGGGAAATGTTTTGAGGCAGCAAAGATTCAATGATTTCCTTAATAATATACTTTTAAAAGATAGAGGACAGGACTGCTGTGAATTACAGAAAAGGGACGGGTTTAAAGCTGAGGAAAAGGAAAGGAAAGAAATATAAGTCATAGGGAAGGACCATACTAACAACAAGGGTGAAAGTTTTATGGGAAAAGACCAAACGTATGAAAACTGGATAAAAGGGAAATAAAATTGGTAGAGGTTCTAAGGAGAGTAAAAGGGGCTAATGGCTGTTGCCTTTGAGTTAGCAAGCAAATAACATGCTGGGCAAGCTCTGATTCCCCAGTCTTCATTGGCTTGTTAGACTATGAGATAGAAAAAGATATAGATTTAATTTGCAGAGCTGTGGTTTATTTTTCTTTGTCAATCTTAGAAAGAACGTAACACTTAAGGAGCTATTTTAGACTCTATTTTCTCCTGCATCTTCTAGAGGGTTTCCCTGACCTTTAGGTTAACCTCTGCCTCTGGACAACAGGCAGGAATAAACAACCCATAGATTAAATGGCACCATCCATGCACAAGATGAAGGTACTGGCAAGCTTCAGAGAACTCCCAAGGTTTGAAGAATTTTAAAAAAGAAACCTTTAGGCAAAAAAAAAAAAAAAAAAAAGTGAAAAACAATTCAAGAGGACTGGGCATGGCACTACAGCTGCCTGTTGTGATTGGGGTGGATGGGAAAAGGGAATGGAATGGAGTGAAGTGACTAGAAACCTTAAAAGGACCACCCCAGACTGCAAGATTTGTTGTTGGTCATACTTCTGGTCACTGTTGGCAAAGAGCATTGGCTCCCTCAGCGGACAGATGTCATGTTCTCTATTATAGATGACTTGGGAGAAATAATCACTCTTGAGTCTAATGAATATGAACCATATGCCTCAATCTTCTAAATTAGGAAGTTAACACAATTTAATTAACTGGTGATTATAATAATGAATAAACAGGAACAACAACAAAATGCCCCAATCTCTAAACTCTGTTGGTTGTGTGGCAGCTCTAACAGTTAACTCCTGGTAGTTTGTCATCACAGCCCTTGTAGATTGCAGTCCTTGTAGATTCATATTTACTTGTGACAGGAAGTCGGCCCCATTGAGCATATTGTGACTTCTTAAGTATGCATGTACAGAATTCTGCTGCTAGACTCACAAATGGGTATGCATTTGCTGGCTGGGGCTGATGGGAGTTGCAGGCCAAACACCTGGAAGAACACAAATTGCCCACCCTTAGACCTTGCTCCTTTCTTTGTCTTTAGTGATTTATCCTTTCTGCCTCAGGCCTCTCTTCAGTCCCTTCCACAACTCCCTTTCCACCAACCAAGTTTTCCTCCCTTTCTACTTCCCTATGGGTCTATGTAGATCATCCTTTCACTGTCTCAGCATAGAGCCTTCCTCAACCTGGTGCCCTACCCTGGCTG